TTGAACAAATGAAGTCAAACCTCCCTCCACTTGCAAGCCAAGCCCAGAGGAGCCAGGAGGGCCTCTTCAGCCGCTCACCTGGGCGTGTAGCTCGGGGCGTAGCGGCTTTGCTGGCGGGAACTGCTGTAAACGGAAAAGGTCCTTTTGCTGGAGTCGCTGCTCTGCGCCTTGCGCACGCCTTCTTCGTACAGAAGCCCCACCTGTGCGGAGAGAAGTGGCAGGATCGGAGCCCTGTTAGAGGAGATGTAAGGGTCCCCTTGAGCTCAAAAGTGCTTCCTGAAAGCACGGCTTGCGGTCCCTGGAAATTTGGGTTGGGTGGGAGACCCTCGAAGAGGGACGGGAGATGTGTGGCCCGCCACGTCTATCTGTTTCATGAAGGCCTAAAGAGACCAGCTTCCCTTCCCTGTGCGAAATAGGCAGACAACAGAACATGTTTCCAAAACAGGAGCAAAAAAAATAGAATAATATAAAATAAAATCCTCAGGGCAAAAGCTTTCTAAGTAGAGAGAAACATTTGGCATTCCTATTCTTCTTCCCAAAGAAATAAGGAGATTCAGAACAGCTTCAGCCTTTCAAAGGGGGGCTTTGGAATAATCTGATTCGGGTGCCCATCGATCAGCCCTCTTTCCTTGTTCTCTGCTGCTTCAGAGGCTAATGCATGAATCGCTGGATTCAAACGGTGAGAAAGGAAATGCTAAGTAAACATTGGCAAAAACTTCCCAGTGACAAGAGCTGTTGGGCAAGGGAGCAGATTGTTTTGGAAGGCGGGGAGGCCTCCCTTGAGCCAAAGAGAGCTAACTGGATTTCAGAGGGCCCATCTGCCAGGAGGATTTAACTAGTGGATTTCCTGCCCTGGCCAGAAAGAGCTGGGCCATTTTGCTCGATAATTTCTCTCCAGTTCCCCCTGTTCAGACAGGATTGACGCTGCCTAGTTTTATCTGGATCCCTCCATGGCCTCCCCCTGTGTTCAAGAGTTCATTGCGCTGGGTCACAGGAAAGGAAGCACACACACACACACACAAACACACACACACACACACACCTCGGCCCCTCTGGACTGGCATGCCCCACTCCACCCACCTGGACATCGATTGAAGTGGCGTCCTCCACCACGCGCTTCATGACGGCGCGGACGTTCCGAGGCTCAATGGTGGTAATCCAGCCGCGCGTCTCCACGCTCTTCCGCAGCATCTGGGAGATGATCAAGCCCTGGACCTTCACGTAATGGTTCAGCAATTTCTGAGCCGCTTCCCGGGCCTCGGTGCAAAGTACCGTGACAGGGGTGACCGGAGAATGGTCCTGGAAGAAAAAAAAACCATGAGCATAAGGGAAAAGGGCGTTCAATTGTTCCGAAGGCTTTAGAGATCCATTCGTACCCCTCGTGTTCTTAATACTGCTCCTATTAAGAGTTTTAATATTTTATTCATGGGCTCGAACATGCAGGCTGCGAGCAGAGTCTTGACTGCAGTACTGCAGTTTAGCCGCTGTGGCACAAAGTTGCTGGACTTGGTGTATAGTAAAAGGATGGGGGGTGGGTGGAGACAAGGGGACGGTGGAGAAACAGCCTGATGTAACGCAGCGAGGCAAGTTCCAGAAATGCAACCATGGGAGGGCTGGGATTCCCAACAGCACCTACACCACCACATTGGATCTATTGCTAATCTAGAGCCTTTGTTCAGCATCAACGGCGTTGCTTTCACCAAGAACCGGAGATAAATAGGAACAGTGAGTTTGGACGACCTGGAGGCTTGGGTTTTTCCCAGGCTCTGTCCCACCCGACGCATGAGAAAGAAACTTTTCACACATGTGGCTAACGACAGCCCTTTGAGTGATGCATAGCCTCTCCCAAATAACGCAATGAGGAAGGTAAGAAGCTCTCGTGAGGCCCATGGATTGTGCAAAGGGTACATGACACACCAGTTCTGCTTCTGCCACATGTTTTTTTTTTTGCAATTTAAATGTTATGAAATGGCTTTTTAAAAATTTAAACCATGCTTTGCACTGCAATTTAAATCCATCTAATTTAAAAAAATGTTTTACCCAACCCTGGTTGGCCCGCCCGTGTGCTCGTACTGTGTATGGATCAGGTCCAATTTTTGCGGGCCTCTAAAAGAACGCCAATTTCGAAACCAACCAGCCCACGGCTTTTTGATCATGGGTCAGTGGTCAGAAGCCGAAACGGGGCCTGCCTGATCCTTCGAGGGCTTGCTTTCCTTACGGTCTTCAGGGAGGGGTCTGGAGAAGGGACGCTGCGGTAGGAGCGATGGCTTTGGAAGATGTAGGCTCTCCGGGGTTTGGCAAGATAAATCAGTAGTGGTGGTGGTTTTAATGGGAGCACAAAGATGACTGTGAGCCCCCTCCCCCCCGGCGAAATTGAGACTGACCCATAGCAGTGACTCTCCCAGGGTTTCAGACAGGGCTGTCGGGGTGAGCCCCGTCTAAAGAGGTTGCCTGGGTTACTTAAAACTGCCCATTTTTTTTTCAATTTTTGATTATATTTTTTTTATTCGTGGTTTAAATCAAATCCCCACCCTGTTTGCTCAGCTCTCCCACAGCCCCTTCTCCAGGCTTTTTAAACAGCTGTGAGGAGACTGCAGCTGTTTGCTCAGTCTGCTGTTTCCCCCTTTCGCTACCTGGCTTCGGCATCTTATAAACACGGCGTACTTCAAAGACACCTTGGATAAAATTATACGGACTGATCGCTACTAATCATACGGCAAGAAACCAGTTAATTTTAAAAAACGACTCAAAACCACAAAGTTGAAGAAATCACTTTTTAAAATACAGTAGAAGCCCCACTTATCCACAGGATCACTATCCACTGATTCACTTATGCATGGGCCGAAAATATTAAAAAATCTTAGAAATACATACATATTCCAAAAGATGAAGTTAGCAGAACATGCCACTAGAGGGAGCCAGAAACCACACTATTGCTAGTGCAATACAGTGGTGCCTCGCTTAACAAGCGCACCGTTTAACGACGAATCCGCATAGCGATTTATTTTTTTAGATTGCTAATGCGATCATATTGCAACGACGAATCCGCATAGCGATCGCATTGCGATGATCGGTAAGCATTTCGGTGGTTCCAAAATGGCCGCCGGGTGCCCAAAATGGCCGCCGCAAGTGTTTTCGCGCCCTGCCCTCGCTTACCAAGGGCACGAAAATGGCGGCACTATGGAGAAACTATTTCCCCATAGCGACGATTAATGCGGAACAGATTAACGTCGCTATGCGGAGCACCACTGTATATTTTCCCAACATCACGACAAGAACAGACCACCAGAAGGAGCCAGAGACCAGGCTATGTATGACTTTCACTATTAAAACACTGTTCTCTATCATCCGCATTTTGCAGTATCTGCCGGGACGCTTGGAGCCAATTCCCCCAGAGAAAAAGCAAAATGAATTTGAAGGCAGCTAAGTCCTGTGGACCTTCCTTTGGGCCCCCACAGCCTAATCTTTTTGGCTTAATCTCTTGAGTGGAGAAAAGGACACAAACCAACACTGTCCCCTTCCAAAAAATGGTCAGTTTCTCCCTCCTCATTTCCCGGGGACACGGGTGGGTCAGAGGCTGACACCCTAAGGTACCTGGACCAGGAATTGCTCATCGGTCAGCGTGAGGATGTAGCTGATGGTGGAGGTCTCGTAATCCAGGCAGAGCCGAGAGAGGAGCAGCAGGAGGGCGGGAGGGGTGGAGCCCCCCTTGTCGCTGGCGCTCTCGCAGAACTGGCGGGCCGTCTGGCAAATGGACTTGATGAAGCTGACAATCAGGCCTTCCCGAACGCCTTGGCTGCAGAATTCACCCTGTGTGTGTGTGTGTGTGTGTGTTTGCAGGGAGGGGGGAGAGATAAGGATGAATCCGAGGCATCATCAGAGAGGAAGGCTGGCTGGCAGCCGCTTGGAACCAGCCCCCCATGGAGACGGGGATCCTCCTGGATCTTTAGATACCCTTAGCGACATCTGCCCCCAACCCCCTTCCCTCCCTCTTTCTGTACCTTGAAATACGGCTTGTTGGAGAAAGTGATGTCCTTGGCGGTGAAGAGGTGGATGTAGGAGAGGACGGCTTTGATCTGGTTGAGGACGGAGGCGGAGATGGTGCCCAGCAACTCCGCCAGGTTCGGGCTGTCTTTGCCCACGAGGTGAGGGGTGGCCAAGGACTGCCGCACGTCCGTCAGACAGTCCACGTAGAAGCTCTGCAGGGCCTGGAGGTACTGGCGGAGGCGCTCCTTGGCCGCCCGCACCACGATCTCCGTGCCTTCGGCCGCCGCGCGGGAGGCGGGCAGGAGCTTGGCCAAGGCCTGCAGGCGGCGGTGGAAGCGGTCCAGCGCCCGCACCAGCAGCGAGTTGTCCCCCACGCCCTTCTCCAGCTGGATGCGTCGCTCCACCAGGGCGAAGTAGCGCTCCATCAGGCTGTCGACGGAGGCCACCAGCTTCTCTTCGGCCATGGCTGCGATGCCCTGGGCGTCCTCCCGGCTGATGAAAAGCTCCTGGTAGGAAGCAATCACCAGGCACAGGTTGCTGACGAAGCTGTTGCAACCCCGGTCGGTGAATTCCAGGATGTCCGTGATGGGACGGGGTGGGCCCGGCAGTGGCCCCTCGCCCAGCTCGGCCTCCAGGGCTTGCAACTCAGCCTCTAGGCGGCAGCGGGCGTGAGCGAGGAACTCGTCGCACAGCTCCTCCGCCGGCTCGTTCAGCTGCAGGAGCAGCTCGACACACTCCGCCAGGTCCTTGGCCCCAGAACCGCCATCCCTGGGAAGAAAAGGTGGAGGATCTCTGAGCAGCTCAACTGCAACGTGAGCCGGCGATGTTTGCCACAGCTGTTTGCTCCTCCTTCCAGGTTTATCCCTACTTGGAGGCAAGCGCAACCTACATCGCTGAGATCAGCCAGGGGGCTGTTAGCGTCATTGGAACCTTGCAGGCTGCCTTTTGTAAGGGTGGCTGGGAGGGACATTTCTGAGCTGGGGTGGCGGCCAATCTATCCAGCACTATCCAGTCGTTCCTTCCCTGCCTCTGAATTCAAAGAAAACCCCCGCCTCTCTGCTCTGTCTCTTTCCCCTTCTTTTTAGCCTGTTGATGAAAGCAGCCACGTTTGTCAGTTAGCCGCCAGACCTGTTCCATTGTAAGTAAATGCAACTTTTTATTCTTTCTCCTACTCATGTAACAGAGTGAGTTACTCAAGAGTGTAAGCGCCAGGTTATGAGAAAAAGGGGTGGTCTGCTCTGGGGAACTTGAAGCTATCCTGTCCCGTGGGTCTTCACCCTTCTGCTGCGCAGCTAGAGAAACCCAGTCAGAAATTCAAAACTCTGCCGCTGAAATGTCGTAGCTTAGTAAGTGCTCAAAGCTGAGAAGCTCCCTCTTCCTATTACAATACCCTAATCTAGGCCATCCCGTTGCCAATTCCTGTGATACTAGACTGCAAATCCCATCTCTCTGGACCGCCGGACATGCTGATTGCCTCTCGGTAACAGCCCTTTCTTCTACCACCGAACCCAGGGAACTCTAGGTCTTTCGAACTGACCTTCTCAACGGCGTTCGTCCACCGTACGTCCCCACCCGGCTTGCCCTCTGCAAGGTAAGCTTTGAGGGCTTACCTAAATTTCTCCCGCAGCTTCTGAGCCAGGTCGGCCATGATCTTCTGGCAGTCGTCCTGGATGCCCCGGAAGGAAGGCATGTGCTGGTACTGGTGCAAGATGGAGCGGGCTTTGCTGTAGTACCGGACGGCTTGCCCGTAGGCCTCCAGCTCGACGCACTTGGTCAGACGGGCCGGGAGCTCGAAAAGGAACTGCAGCTTGCGCAAGAGGGAGTGGACCCCTGGCAAGGAGGAAAGAGACGGGGAAGAGGGGTGAAGGGGCCGGAGGGAGGGCTGCTGGATGGATGGCTGGGAGTTCGATCACCCCACCGGGCCTCCTGAACAGGGCCTGGACTTGATGAACCAGAGGATCCCTTCTAAGATGATGATGATGATGAGGGCATACAAGTTTAGGGATTGCAAATCCTCAGTTAATTTGTCCTTGTATGGTAAACAGTCCAACCGGGGAGGGGGGAATCTTCCATGCCACACAGTGGCAAGATTTGTTTTTTCTGTCAGCCCCAGAAACATTTTGTGCATTTTCTCATTGTGGCAAAAGGCACACAAAACTAGGGGGGGGGTACGGCTTATTTTTACACTCAAGCTGGCTGTCCTGCGTGGATGCAGAGGGTCAGAAAAGAAAAAAAAAGTACATGTTTCACCCATAACAGTACAAAATGTGGCAAACACAGCAGAGGCATGTGCTTGGGGGGGAGGGGGGCTCAGATTTGTGTGGCAGAGAAGAACTTTTGCAGGGCTGAAAAATTCTCACAAAACTCAGAAACAGTAAGATTTTTTTGTCTGTTTTATTTTAAAAACACTTCTAGTAAGAAGTTTTGGGACCTGAAAAATCTGGATCGACTCCTCTCACCTTCAAGGGGAGAGCAAGCCCTGACTGGGGATGCTGGAGACTGGGTGGAGAACTCTCCCCCCCCTCCGGTCAGGATGTGTGCTTCTCCTGAAATACTGTACATGTTCTTCCTCACTTCTAGAAAGGCAGGCTGGGTCATTCCCGCAGAAGCAGGTCAACCAGAGGAGGAGGAGGAGGAACGGCCCTACCTGACAACTTGGTGATCTGCTCGTGCTGGTCCTGTAAGGTGCTACTGATGCTGGCGCTGAACTCTGTGATCACGGCCATGTTCGCCGCCAGGCAGTCCATCTCGTCCTCCATCTTCTTGAAGTCGTTCTTCATCTTGCGGATGGTGTCTGACGGGAGACAGCAAAAAGGAGAAGAAAAGTTCAGCTTCTCACAGTGCATGATTCTGAACTTCTTCCAAGGTAAAGCTCAGTAATAATTGGGGTTTTTTGGGGCGTGTGTGTGTGTGTATTGTGACCTCCCCAGAACTGTCCCCCCCCCATGCTAGCTGGTAGCTTCTGGTAGTGGTCTCAAAAAGTAACTTGGCTGAGGCATGATCTGAGCAAAGGCTGGCCCAGTCTTCCTTTCACTCTCCCTGCCCTATCTTTGACAATGACAATACGGAGAGTGATTCATTCAACTTAAGTATATCCTACTTTTCTGCCAGCTGTACCTGGAAAAGATGAGGCAATTATAAAAAGAAACAAAATATCCCACCACCATTTAAATAGGAAGAGCAGCAAATATGTATGGACAGTGAAAGGAAACACACAACTGTAGATGCAAACTACCCTATCTACTTTTTTAAAATTTACATTATACATCAGGACTCCTGTATCTGTGAGAGATCAGCTACAAATCCCCCTGTGGATGCCGAAAAATGAGGATTACAGCGAACTCTTTATTTTTAATAACAAATGCAATCCCTAGCATGGTTGCTGGCTCTTTCTAGTGGCCAGTTCTGATAACGTCATCATCAGAAACATGCAATTCTAACATTTTCGCTTTTAATGTTTTTCATATTTTTAGGCTGTAAATAAATGAATCGGTAGATACCGATCCCACGGATAAGCGAGCCCTACGTTCCGGCTGCCTTGAAGGCAGAGCTTGGCATCTACCTGGGCGACTGAACTGAACCTCTGCTTCCAGAGGCAGTCTACCAGAGGTCAGCCCACGCAGCAGGGTGGACACTGGCCGTGTCACGACTCAAGAGGAAGGGAGGACATGACCGGAAACGCCTCCCTTCCCCCAATTACCTGTCGCTGAGATGAACTTGTTGTAATTCTCATACACCAGGGTCTGCATGTCGCTGTCCAGGGCCCGGATCTGTTTCACCATGTCCGTCTCGCAGTCCATCAGCTGAGCCAGGGGGCATTCCTTCCGCAGCTGGCAGGCAGAAAAAGAGAGAAGGGGAGCCGGGTGAATCCGGCGCTTTCTGCAACCGAAGGCACTTTTCCCCTTCTCCTGTGATCATCCCCCCCCCGGAGGCAGCCCAGCTTGGACCCAGAGCCGCCGCTTTTATAGAGAAAGGATACCTAAGCAGTAAAAGGGACACCCTTTCAGAAGGGGCAGACACCAAAAGGGACACCCTGTCCTACAGACTCTCATGCCACCTAGTCTTTTCGGTGGCAGCCCCACAGCTGTTAATCTGAACAGCCAGGTCCGGATGTTCATTTATTTATTTAAAATATTTTTTACCCCGCCTTCCTCTTTTAAAAAGGACTCAAGGCGGTGGGCATCATCAAAAGACAACATTGAAAGCGAGAAATGTTAAGAATAGGAATATTTAAAAGGATCAGACCAGTGCCACTCCGAGAAAGGGTAAACGTGAGCAAGGCTTAAAAATACAGTCAAAGCAGTAAAACACAAGATATATATGTATATTTTAAACCCAGTTGGGCAGCCGGTCTCTTGAGAGAAAGGCTGTCGGAAGAGAAAGGTCTCTTGGCCTGCTTGTGGAAGGAGAGCCAAGAGTGGGGGCTCCAGCCTGGCCTCCAGTGGCAGGGAGTTCCGCAGTCTCTGGTAGCTGATCTCATGTAAATCAGAGACTCTTCCTTTCCTGCAGGTTTCCGTTCTGACCGGCATCATCAAGATCAGCCTGAAGACGTTTCTGGAGTGCGTCCGCCTGCGGACGTTCGGGCGCTTCGGCCTGCAACAGATCCAGGTGGACTGTTACTACCTCCAGCTGTACCTCTGGCGCTTCGTTTCGGACGAGAACCTGGTGCACTTCCTGCTGGACGAGATTGTGGGCAGCACCGCCCACCGGTGCCTCGACCCCGTGCCCATGGAGCAGAGCGTCATTGAAGTCATCTGCGAACGGGGATAAGAGGACGGGAAGAGGGTGGGTGACCCAGAAGGACACATGGAAGGGGGGGCCCCCACGCATGCACTCTCGCCAACTGTACGTCAACAGCACTGACCTCATTGGTGACAAAAGGGGAGATTTCGGGATTGAGGGGGGAGCACTTGTCAAAGCCACGGCCAGAAACCGTGATGATTGGATTGTAATAAATGAAGATAAATTTTTAACGTCTTGATGATCTGCTCTTGCATATCACCTTGAAAGCAAGAAAGGACACTTCTGGGTGAAATAAAACTGTGTGTAATTTTGTGTGTAATTTTTTTTTGTTCCGAACTTCCTTCTCTTGCAGTCATTCAGCATTTCATAGAATCCTAGGATCAGGGAGTCGGAAGGGGCCTCTTAAGGCCATTAAGTCCAACCCCCCCTGCTCGGGGCAGGGCTCCAAAGTCTATCTGACAGATGATAGCCCAGTTTTCTCTTGCATGCCTCGAGCATTGGCGCACTCACCACCTCCTTGTCAAACAAGGGGCAAAATGATTAGAAATTTTTAAAAATCAAAGGCGCATAAAAGGAAGAGCTGAAAGTTGGGAGTTTTTACATCCTTGTATGCTGACTGTGGAAGTGATGGGTGGGAGGGACCTTTGTGGGCTGGGGTGACTGTCAATCTATCCAGCACTAACCAATCGTTTGCTCCCTGCCTCTCAAAGGAGAGCCCCGCCTCTGCCGAGTGCTCTTTTCCTCTCTTTAGTCTGTTGGAAGCATCGGTTGTTCGCTGTTGATCTGTTCAGAGGGGGTTCCCGAGACCTTACGTGCCAGTAAATGAGAAAGGGGTGGACTCCCCAGGGAACTTGAAGCTATTCTCCTCTGTGAGTACTTCTGTTGCGTCGTGAAGAGGAATTTAGCCAAAAATCCAAACCTCTTGTGACAGAAAGTTCTTATTCTTGCCACATGAATGATCTCTGCCCAGCGTCTCCCACTCTTAAATCTGTGGCGGAGAAAAAGCGGCCGGAAATGATAAGACAGCCGTCCCAGAGGAAACGTCCTGCAGTGTTGTGGTTTTTTTAACAAGTTGCGTTGCTGAAATGACCTTTTTTTACACACACTTCTGCAAGGGCCCCGGACCCTGCCCTCCACAAGCCTCCCCTGGCACAATGCTTCGTTTTCTCTGTCCCTAAAGATCTGGGTTGATCCGGGGAAGGAAGTTCACGAACCAAAGGGAAAAAGGAACAAAGCAGGGGCCCCGGGTGTGTGTGTGGGGAATTTCCCCAGCCTTTCCCCCGTGATGCAACCGCTGTCGTTTGAGTCAACAACCGCTGTTTGACGTGGGGCTTAGGACGGGCTTGGCTGCCTCACTCGGCTGGCATTTATAGAGGAGGATGCCCGGGCGGAATCGCAAACAGGGGAGATGGCCAGCATGCCGAATTTTCACCCAAAGTGCCGCCTCGGCAGGTTTTGGAAAGGTGAGTCCTGGGGAGGGTGAGATGGGGCCGAAGTGGGGGGCAGGCTTTGCGTCATTATTTGCCTGCTTTTTTTCCGACGGGCCCCACAAAGCAGGTGGCACAGCCCTAGCCAGAGCCAGCAGGTGGTACAGTCCTAGCAGGAACAGGTGGGGACCTGGTGAAAGATTCATATCTAAGAATAACTAACAGATTGCTGCAAGAATTGATGGTCCGTGCAGGCTTTGCAAACGGACGCATCTTCGAGAGGAAAGGTGCTGTGTTTTATTCCTTTCCTTAATTTTTTTTTTGTAAGAATGGACCAGCGTCTGCTATTTTTTTCTTCCTACTCAAGACAGAAGGAATGTACAGTTTAAATGAAAACCAGATATGGCCTCACGGAAGCTGTCTTGAGATTATCCACGAACACACACACACACACACACATGCTTCTCTCACGATGACATTTTTGAATTTTCCTATGGTTACGATACAGTGTTGACCTTTGCTGTTGGCCACACAGGAGTAGTGGGTCTGCGGGTGAAATTAAAATGCAAATAAATAAACAAAGGCATCAATATATATTTGTTTATTTGGATTGGGATCGGCCTGGAGGGCCAGAACGGACGCTTGGGATCATCCAGTTGAGTCCCCCCCAAGGAGGTATGGGGAGGGGGGATTCAAACTCCCAACCTCCGGCTCCACATCCAGAGGCCTAAACCAGATACTCTTTTAGTGGTTACACCAAGGTTGCTTTAGGTATGTGGGCCAGGATGCTGCCCAAATTACAGTAAAACCAAAAGCTTCTTGCCACGGCCCGCCAGACTCCGGACCTTGCACCGGTGGCTAAAAGAGAACCTCCCGTATTTCTATAATGCATCTTGCACAGGAGCCCTAGAGGGCAAAAAAATATGGCGACTCAGTGCTGGGGGAAGGATCAGAGCTTGGAAGCCCATTGCAAGGAAGGATCTCTGGGCCCCTCAGAATCCTTGCAGACGCTGGACCTCCGAGACAACGCTCTTTCCCGGGTCCCATCCGGGGATCTCCCATCCCTTCGGCACCTGCTCTTGAGTCAGAACCGGATCCAAGACGCCTGGGGCGTTGAGCGCCTGAGCAGGAACTTGACGCACCTCGACTTCTCCGGCAAACGCCTGGGGGACCTGGGTCAGCTCTGGGGTCAACTTGGGGAGATCCTGAACCTGCGTTTTCTGAACCTTTCCGGCAACACGCTGGCCAGGTGCTACCGTGTCGGGAAGAGCCCGAGGCAGCTCCGGGAGTTGGACCTTTCCCACAACGCGCTGGGGGATATTTGGGGAGAAGAGAAATGTGTGGACGTCTTCCGGGACGCCCAGAAGCTAGCCGTCTTGAATCTCAGCTCCAACGCCTTGCGGACGTTGCCCAGAGCGCTATTCCAGACCCTGGTGTCTTTACAGGTTCTCGATCTCTCCTCCAATCTGCTGTCCGAGGTTCCGGATGAGGCCTTCCACGCTCTGAGATCCTTACGCACCTTGAGCGTCCGGGGTAACCCCCTGCTGACCCTCTCTCCTGCCCCGTTCGCGGCCCTGGAAGGGCTGCGCTCCCTGGATCTGAGGGACGTGTCTTTGATTTGTGACTGCCGGCTCTCGGACTTCCAGCTCTGGATGGACGAAAAGGCGACCGGGCTGAGCGAAGGCGAGGCCACGCTGTCTTGCGTCCAGCCACACCCTTCGTTCTGGCGGCTCTCCTTGCCCGCCTTTCTGAAAAGCCACTGCCTTCCTCTGTCGCCAAAGGCCAGCGGGCACATAAGTCACTCCCGTGAAGGGGAAATGAAAATGATTTAGGATAGCAAAAAGCTTCAATTCAATTAAAAGTTAAAAAATTTAATTATAATGTTTTAATATTTTGGGGGAAAAAAAATTAAGAAATGATTTTTGCACTGATTTTTTATTTACATTTGGAACTTAAGTTGAACCTTTTAAATCAAACATTTAAATTTTAAAGTAATTTCAGTTTTTTGGTAAAAACAATTATCTGTTTTTGTTAAAATAAAGGATCTTGCCTTGGGCGCCCGTTCGGCACCATTATCACAACCTACTTATTCATCAGAGTCTTTGAGGGTTTGAGGATCGTTCCATCTTTTATCTTCTCTGCTGCCCTTTCTTTTGCCGGCAAGATTCAATATTGCTCCTCTCTATATTCGATGGTGATGTAGTCCATGGAGAAGCGGGCGAGACACATCGCAAAGTTCATGGCTGGGCAGAAATAAGAGGATGAAAAAACAACAACAGTCACATCCGTGCTTTTCCTTATTGGAAAGAGGGGTACATACAGTAAGACCACAGTGACCGTGTGGCCTGGGCTCCAAGCCCCCAAAAGGTGGAAGTACAGTGGTGCCTCGCAAGATGAGGTTAATTCGTTCTGCGGAAAATGCTGTCTTGCAAAAACATCGTCTTGCGAAAATCGTCCATAGAAAACATAGTCTTGCGAAGCGCAACAGCGATTGCAAAAACCAATCGTCCTGTGGATTAATCGTCCCGCGAGGCAATCGTCTTGCGAGGCACCACTGTATTGAACGCTATACTGTACTATTGCACAGTCTTTGTCTTACTCTAGTGGCCTAGTTCTGGTAAATACAGCCAAGAAACACATATAGATATATATTTTGAGGGTGGGGGGAGGTCGCATTTTTTGGCAGTGGATAAGCGAATCAGCAGATACTGATCCTGCGGATGGGGGGGTCCTGCTGTATGTTTAAATTCTGAAGTCTTCCACTTTGTGGAGCGGACTAAACTCTATACAGTAGCTTACTAGCTGTGCAAACATCAGCCCATATAGGCGGTAAAGTGAATGGTCTCAATGTGTGGTAAGGAACCAGGGGTGTGTGCGTGCGCACGCACTGCGTGTTTCCTTTCCCCCTTTTTCCCCTCTGCCAGCAGGGAAACCAAAAGATGCTGTTCCCCTTCAGGCCCCAGTTCTCAGTTGCACCTCCGCTCTAGCTTGAACTCGGACTGTGAACAAGGCAGAATCGTTCGACCAGCGACTCGTTCCCAACCTGGGGTCCCCAGATGTTCTTGGACTGCGACTCCCAGAAGCCCTCACCCCTAGTTGCGCTGGGCTGGATTTCTGGGAGTTGCTGTCCGAAAACATTCGGGGACCCACAGTTGGGAGGCACTGCTTTGGATGAGTTTCTCCTGCTCTGCTCTAGGGCAGCGCCGGGCGGGGTTTAGCTCTGCAGGTGCTGTTCCGACTCTCAAGTCTGATCACCCCTAATGGGTGGCGCCAGTGGTGAGGATGATGGAGGTCCCTGTCTAGCAAAGATCTTTTTGAGTTTGAACACTCTAGCTTTGAATTTGTTTTTCCTCTGGGAGGCACTGCTTTGGATGAGTTTCTCCTGCTCTGCTCTAGGGCAGCGCCGGGCGGGGTTTAGCTCTGCAGGTGCTGTTCCGACTCTCAAGTCTGATCACCCCTAATGGGTGGCGCCAGTGGTGAGGATGATGGAGGTCCCTGTCTAGCAAAGATCTTTTTGAGTTTGAACACTCTAGCTTTGAATTTGTTTTTCCTGTACGAAGCTTACCAAGAGAGGTGAGGGCAAAATAGATCAGCACGTTGTCCTTGCCCAGCAAGGTGTAGATAGTTGCCAGGACGGCCCAGTAAAAGCTGAGCACGTGGGAGAACTGCAGAGAGCCAACACAAGAGGGGGAAAGAGTGAGGAATCTCTCCCTGGTGAACTTTTATTTTCCTTTTCAACAACGACCTGTCGGGGAAAGTGCCCAGAACTTGGGAAGTTATTTTGTGGATCGTGATGTCCACAGTTCCAAGAGGCCAAGATCCTCATCTTCGTCTTAGAATGGCACAGAGCTGGGAGGGACCCGCTAGTCTAGATCATCTCATCCAGCCCCTGTCAAGGAGGCCATGTGGGGGATTCAACCTCCCGACCTCTGGCTCCGCAGCCAGATACATCGTGATGATGATTCAAAAATACCAGGCACAGTCAATCCAAATTATAAAAACATGGACTGGTATTATATAACGGATACAAGCTGTATTCAAAAACCTACGTATCTGTTAAATACCAGTACAGTATGTATGCTGTTCCTAATATTACCATTTTTTTTGTAGCTCGGTGGTGGTGTTATTAATTCATGCTGGGATGAGCATCAGGAATGCTAATTATTTAGTGCTTGCCCATCCATGTTTATAACAAAGGCAGTGGAAGGCCGTGCCATTAAGGCTGGTCCTGCTGACACCTCCCTGAAGACGTTGCTTATTATCTACGGCCCCGATCCTCTGGAAGCTTCTCCTACAGAAGCCCCTTTGGACTTGCAGAATTGGAACTGCAGAATCTGAAGGGACCCCCAGGGGTCCTTTTTCCGACCTCCAGCTGACGCAGGAGATCCTGCTTGCTGGCAAGGCAGAAGACTTAAGGCAATGGGGGTCAGGCGCGATAAGATGAGGAGTAAGCCCTTTACCAAGAGCACCACAGTAAAGCGGAAGCTCATGAGATCCACATTCTGGGTGACGAGGAAGTGATAAAGGTCGGATGCGATGACAGCCGCGTGAATGAAACACAGGAACAGCGAGCCAACGGTGAAGATGACTTTTTTCGGGAAGGTGAGAGTTATGAAACGGTCCTTCCAGGTTGGCATCTCTGTCTCTCTCCCGGGGGTAAAAGTGCCGCGGATGAGGCGTTGGCTGCTGAAGCCTAGAGAGCTTAAAATATTGACACCAACTCGGACTCCGGCTGAGGTCCAGCTGGAATGTTAATGCTGATCTCACAATGACCTCCGGGTTCTAGAAGGCAGGGAGATTGGCTTGCTGTGATCAAGTGTTTTTTTCCCCAAACCTAATGCACAAGTTGTTTTGTGTCCTGGCTCATGAATGCAACTGGAACGGCTTCAAATCAAAATGAAAATATTAGTAGGAGAGTCCTAGAAACCGGTGGTCTCTTTGCAAAACAGTTTGCCAGTGCATAGACCAAACAGAAACAGGCCTTAACCTTTTAGTGGTAAAAATATTAAAAATCACCGCTTCGATGTGAAGCTCGCAAACTCACAACACCCCTAGTGCTGCTGGGTTTTGTTCTCTCTTAAAGCTCACTTTTCAAGACACATGGGAATCATACAGTCTTGTGGCACTTCCAGGATTAATTAACAAGAGCTTTCTTTGTGTGGATTCCAGAATTTGTCATGTCAGATTAAAGGGATCCTATGCAAGAAGTCTCAGATTGCCCCCAGGAACCTCGCTCCCATTCTCATTCCCTGATGAAAATCTGCATTGCTCAGTGTTGCTCTTCCTCTTCTTCTACATCCTGCCTTCCCCTTTCAGTGCCAGTTTGGAGGGGGGGGGGGAAGAGACCAGTCAGAAAGAAATAGATCGACTCAACCCTGAACTCTCTCTAGAAGCAAAAATGAGGCTGTCCTCCTTTGGGCACCTCCTGAGAAGTCAGGATTCTGTCCGGAAAAGACCATCGTGTGCTGGGAAAGGCGGAAGGTAGCAGGAAAAGAGGAGGGCCCGAATACGGAGGGATCGGTCTCAGGCACGGCCCTGTGTCCTTGCCCTTGGCAGTCGGCCACCTTCAGGGCGTTGACCGTGGTCAGGTAACAGCGAGGCGGGGCCCCGACAGGGTCCCCCAGGGCTGGCATGGAAACGACAGCCACGTAAAAGGCAACTGGGGAGAAACGGAGAGAAAGAGATATACTGTATATAAATATATTAAATACAGTATATTAAATGAATAAGATAAGCACGGAAAGGCTAACAGACAAGATGAATTCATCAGGTCGCCCAAAGGCAGCTTGAGGTGGCCTCGCCATCTCAGGAGGGCCATCGATTTATTAGCACAACCCGAATCCTCATTAATTACACAGGGAAGGAACTCAATGGAACCGCCTATCCAGGCTGTTTATAATGAGGCTGAGATGTCAAAAAGCCCCACAAGCGGAAGCAGGAAACAGCTGTCCGGAAGGCCGCCTCTGGAGGCTTTTTTAGAGCTGCCGCTCTAGGACTTCACAGCCCCAAAGCCTGGCCCAGAAAGGCTTCCACGAAGCTTTCCTCAGTCCGGAAATGACGTCACACAGGGGCCGAACGCCGCCCGACAAAACTTCATGGTTCCCGAAAGTATCGAGGAAGAAGCCGTCCTCGCTTCCGGAAGTGACGCACCGCGGAGGCCTGCGGCCTGTCAACAAAGCCTCGTTGTTCCCGGAAGTGACGCAACGCGGAGCGTCCGAGCCGCCGTTCCCGGAAGGGAGGCTTCGTGAGGGAGGCGCCCGCCGCCGGTGGCCCGTTCCCCCCCCTTCCTCACCAAGGTGGGGGGGAGGGGAGGGGTCGCCATGGCAACGGTGCCCCTCCGGGTGGGAAGGGGCGGCGTCTTCCCATCCTCCTCCTCATCATCCTCTTTCCCTTGAAGGGGGGGGGAACATGTTACCTTCTGAAAAAAAAGCTCCTCGGGGACCTTGACTGGAGCTGACCCCCCAGGCACACGGTGTCCCCCCCCCCCCCCGAAATGCTGGGAGGATCCACCTCCCATGGGCTACTCTGAAGTAAGACACACCTAAGCATCATCCCCATGGTAGAACTGCTGAGCTGGAAGGGACCTTAGGGATCATCTAGTCAAGGAGGCACCGCGGGGGGAGGATTCGAACTCCCAGCCTCCGGCTCTGTCGCCCCGATCACCAAAGCCACTGAGCTGCCCAGCAGGTTCTGGGAACGGAAAATGAAATTAATATAAGACTCTTATTTTTGGGGAAACACGGTATTCATGGCATGGCCTCTGGCTCCCTTTAGTGGCTAGTTCTGGGGACTTTGTTGTGATAGGTAGATAGGCTAGGTAGGTAGGTAGGTAGGTACGTAGGTAGGTAGGTAGGTAGATAGATAGATAGATAGATAGATAGATAGATGGATAGATAGATATTTTTTCTTTTAATATTTATGATTTTCAAACTATGGATACTTGAATCAGCAGATACTGATCCCACGGATAAGGGGGTCCTTATATATCTTATTTCCTATTCATTACTCCCCCCCACCCTCGATATATATATTTTTCTATACATTCTTTCTTTATGTTATTTCCTTTGTATAGTTTCTGAAAAAATTCATGAAAAATCTTCAATTTTTCTTTCATTATATTACAATTTTTACCTGTTTGATCTTTAATTATCCCTATTGAATTTTTTGCTCTTTTATTTTTACACATTTTAGCTAACAATTTTGAGTTTTTGTTATTAAATTCAAAAAAATGTCTCTTTAAATACATCAGATCTCTTTGAACTTTCTCTATTTCTATATTATCTAATTCCTTTCTCTTAGCCTGAATTTCTATTAATATTCTTCTATCTCTTTCTGTAAAAAATCTATTTTCTAAGTTTTTCAAATCTTCTTCTAGTTTTTTCACATGTCCCTCCTTAATTTTTTTTAATTTACACGATTCTCTTATCGTTATTCCTCTTGTGATTGCTTTCATTGGGTCCCACAACAGGCCTGGCTTAGCACCTCCTGTTTCATTTATTGTCCATAATTCTAGCCATTCCTTCTTATCTTTTCTATTATTTCTGGATACTGTTGATGTATGTACCCCTCTTTCCAATAAGGAAAAGCACGGATGTGACTGTTGTTGTTTTTTAATCCTCTTATTTCTGCCCAGCCATGAACTTTGCCATGTGTCTCGCCCGCTTCTCCGTGGACTACATCACCATCGAATACAGAGAGGAGCAATACTGTTATCTTTTCTATTATTTCTGGATACTGTTGATGTATGTACCCCTCTTTCCAATAAGGAAAAGCACGGATGTGACTGTTGTTGTTTTTTAATCCTCTTATTTCTGCCCAGCCATGAACTTTGCCATGTGTCTCGCCCGCTTCTCCGTGGACTACATCACCATCGAATACAGAGAGGAGCAATAGTGAATCTTGCCGGCAAAAGAAAGGGCAGCAGAGAAGAGAAAAGAAGGAAGGATCCTTCCAGGGCTTGGTGTGCTATTCCCCCGCCCCCCAACCAACCGGTCTCCAAGGAAGAAACGAAGGGGCCGAGGCCACTCAGGGTTTGGAAAGAGGGTTTTTAGTAGCACGCCGACAAACAAATATATTGCTTCTGCAGGTTAATAGCTTGTTGTTGTTTTTTTTGCACGGTCGCCTCTACACTGAAACAAGAGAATGGAGCTGGTCCATACATCCAAACCCCCACAGAGGAACTCCCAGAGAACCGCCGGCTGAAATACAGTCATTTGCTAGAAGAGGCCACGGGAACATGGGGTCCATCATCTACCCAGTCTGGGTATTGACGGAAACAGAGCCCCCCAGTTTAAGAGCCGGGCATGGGGGGGTCCCCCCGGCTGTCAGCTCTGCAGGATCTGCTCTGGAACAGATTCGAGGAAGGAGGGGGTTTCTCAGAGAGCTTGGTGGGGCAACATCATCCTCGTCCTTTTGTAACTCAGTGCCTGGTAACTCAGGCAGAAGAGACTGCCCCCCTCCCCTGATGCTACTGCCAGTCCCAGATCAGAGTCCTCTGACTCGATGCCCTCTACGTGTGCTGGACTACAACTCCCAGTATCCTCGGGGTAAGCTGGTCCCCACGCAGGTGGAAGGCACCGGCTTGGGCAAGACAGCGGCCGCAAAAGTGCTGCAAGGACAGCTTTCTGAAACTCATTGGGTTAGGAACCCTCTTAACACCTACGGAGGGGTTCATTCTGGCGAATAAAGAGACACGTGAAGGAGAACAAGCGTTTCCTTGTGAGTTTCTAAACCACCTCTTGTTCCTAAATCTCCACTGAAGCATGACGGTACTGGGTGTCTTCCCCCAAGGAAAATGCCCTCGCTTCCTCTCACGTCACAAGGCCCCGAATCGAAGACAAACCTAGGGAGGCAGAGCTAGGCTGAAGGGACCCACCCATGTTTTCCCCTTCAGAATTCAGGGCTGTGAGGGAAAGAGGCAAGAGGTGGTGGGGTTCAGCCGGAGAGGGAGGAGAGGCCCCAGCTTTAAGGAAGTAACCGTTTCTTGGGTAAAACATGCGGCTCATATAGAGCCACCAATTTCGACAGGGAACTCTCTCTGCACCCTCGGCAAGGATGCAAGAATGCTCTCCCGTGTTCTTGGGAGCCATATCATGCCTCCCAAAGTCAGGGGGAAAGAAATCCCTAAAATGGTCCCCTTCTTTTTTTATATAAACACTGTTAGAGGTTGGGTCAACGGATCGGGGCGGGCAAGGCCGATAAAGGCCCCGATCACCAAACTGCGGATTAAAGAAAATAAACAACTCAAAAACAAAACAAAACACCAAACCTTACTCTCAGGTAAAATTGAGCCACCGTGCCAGACAGGTCTGCGCAGGAGGTAAAACCAAAGTCCTCCACCTTGTCCGGAAATGATTATTTCTCCTCCGTGAATGGAAAGCCTGGGTAGAGAAGCGAAGGGGCTTCGGCTGGAAAACCAGCCCTGGAACTCTGCAGAGTTATTTTCTGTAGTGCTTAGGGTGCTGCGTCCTCCTCGGCTGCTGGCCGGGCTTCTGGATGGTCTCCTCGTTGAAGCAGCCCAAGATGAAGCGGTCTCTCTCTGCCCCAGATCTAGAGGGGGGGACCCTCGGCCTGTCGTCCAAGCTTTCAGGGTGGCCTGAGTGGTCTTGCTTTTCCGGAGAGGGCTCGATTCACCACAGCGGCTACAGGCCAAGAGCGTTCCCAGGGAATTCTTTCTCCGCCCCCTTCCTGCTCGCTGGGAGGGCAGCCCACGGCCGAGGGAAGGCGCCCGCCCCGGGTTTATTGCTTCCCGACCCGGATGTGCGGGTTGAACATGGGGTCCAGGTTGGGGTCGCTGTCGGCGGAGGCCCGGCCCAGCTTCATCATGACAATGACGAGGGTGAGGAAACCGATCCCGCCGATGAGGAGAAGGATGACGAACTTCTGCATCAGCGAGCGCGGCTGCTTCCGGGAGCTGAAACGGTTCCTGCAGGAAGGAGGCGAGAGGCGTGAGTGGGGGCCGTCTGAGCATAAAGGAAAAAAGTTCGATCTAAGAACCACAGGAGAGTAAATCCAGGCCTCGGAGATGCTTTTCATGGTTCATGGAGCTGCTCGGGCCATGTGTCAAAGGCTCTGCTAAGGAGGAATGTGCTCAGAATAAGGTGCGGGGGGAGAGAAAAGGAATGATATCCCTAGTGCTGTGTGGTTAGTAATATCGAGGGTGGGGGGGAGTAATGAATAGGAAATAAGATATATAAGGACCCCCTTATCCGTGGGATCAGTATCTGCTGATTCAAGTATCCATAGTTTGAAAATCATAAATATTAAAAGAAAAAATATCTATCTATCTATCTATCTATCTATCTATCTATCTATCTATCTATCTATCTATCTATCTATCTATCTATCTATCTATCTATCTATCTATCTATCTATCTATCTATCTATCTATCTATCTACCCGCCCACCCACCTACCTACCTACCTACCCTATCACAACAAAGTCACCAGAACTAGCCACTAAAGGGAGCCAGAGGCCATGCCATGAATACCGTGTTTCCCCAAAAATAAGAGTCTTATATTAATTTTTGATCCAAAAAATGCATTACGGCTTGTTTTCAGGGGATGTCTTATTTTTTTCTTTCATGGACCACAATCTAAATTTATTTAAATACAGTCCCGTCCTCTTAGGAAGCCATCGCTTGAGAACTGGGTAGAAAAAAAGACATTTAACAATAAAACTGAATGGGTTTCAGGTCTAAGAGCCTCTGGGGCAAAACCTGGCTTCCTGCAGGCCACTGGTTTCTACGTGGAATAAAGCCAGCGTGAAGCAAGGGAGGGAGACCCCCCGTAGCGTGTCTCTCAGCCTCCCTGCTTTCCACTGTGCTGTTCCCGAACTTACTTGAGGATTTGGGCCAGCCAGCCGAGCACGGGCCGCCGGCGGTACTTGTCCTCGTCAAAGTCGATACGGGCCTCTGAAGCTCGCCCGACTCCGTCTTCCCGGGTATCATAAACTTTCCGCGGCGAGGAGGGGGACAGTATTGAGCCCTGAGGAACCCCATGACATAACTGCCATGGGGCAGAGCAACTTATTATTTACTTATATTTCCATCCGGCCCAATTGGGTTGCTAGACTACTTAATCTGGGTGGCGAACAGGAGGACAACGCAGGCATAAATCAGTAAGGATAATCACAGTGAGGGGGAAAAGGTTCCAGACACGACCACAGGAACCACAAAAGGGAAAAAAAAGATTAATGGCAGGCTGTGGGGTGGAAGGGATAGATAAAATGACTTGATTAGAGGTGTGGGAAAACAGCCAGGGCTTCAGTGGTGTCCTAAAACCCAGAAGGGATGGGGCCAGTGGCACCTCTGGTGGCAGGGAGTTCCAAAGGAAAGCGGCCACCACAGAAAAGGCCTGGTTTCGAGGCTCCAATTTCCAAGGGAGGTGCTCAGCCAGGTAACAGGGTCCTAAACCCTTAAGGGCTTTATAAAAGTTAACAGAAGCACCTTGAACGTGGCCCGGAAGCAAATAGGCAGCCAAGGCAGATAAGCTAGGATAAGGGGTTACATGGGTCATATAAAGAGACGCTCCAGAGACCAACACGGCAGCAGAGCATTCTGGACCTGCGACATTTGAACAGCCTTCAAGGGCAGCCCCCCCCCCGCAGAAAGCTCCCCCGGGCCTGCTGGCTTCGCCTGTGGAAAAAGGCTCCCCCCGGACC